AGAACACTGTGCACTCCAACAACTACAGCGTTGTAGTCCTTAGTACAAGGAGAGCGCGCAAGAGCCACAAGCGAAGCAGACAAAAGGGCAAAAGGTCAAAGAGAAGGGAGTGAAGCAGACAAAAGGCCACAGGTTGAAGAGAAGTAAGTGAAACGCTCCATTCAAGCATCACAACAAACAAAGCCAGCCTTCCCCTCTATAACCATCACAGATCCAATTGTCGAACCATCCATGTAGCTTTGGTCTAGTGGTTCAAGACGCCTCACCTTTGCTGTGACTACCGTTCGCGCCGTCTGAAGGGATCGCCAAGCAAGTGGCCGACCGGTTCGAGCCAGGGCACGGTAGATCATATTGGGGGCTTTGGGGAGACGTGGGTTCGATTCTCACAGGCTGCAATTTTCTTTGTTTTCCTTTTTCTTTTGTCTCTTTGATCTGGCCAGACGACGGACAGTATTGAGCAAGGTTGCGGAGCTGGTCGCGAATCTCCGTGGTTGTTAAGGCAGAGCCTTCAAGGAAGAAGTTGCAAGACTACCTTTTTCTGAACAGGATCTGTCATTTGTGGTTGACAACCATCGCATGATCTCTCTATAGGATGCTCCCCCTTCAATCTTGGTAACGTCGTGGGCAGAGCCATTCGCAGAATGTATGCTAGCAGTACTAATTTCATTCTGTTAGCCATCTGCTGCACATCCATCAAGTCTCCAGATACCATGCTGATATCGTCGAAGCGGAACGGAGTAGGAATAAGCACCATACGTATCTCATGGATGAGTACATGATTTATTGATCCCGCTCCGATTGATTCCCGATACCGTTCGTGCAAATCGCTGACGGCGATAAATAGTGGGAGCGAATAACGATGGTGGGATTCTAGAGTACGAAGCTGTCGAGAAAATCACAGCTTCCCAGACTAGAAAGCACAAATATTCCTCTCAACAAAGAGAAAAGATGTTCTGGCTGGCGCTTCTCCGAGTAGGTGGTTGCCTGATGTCTCGAGTCAAGCATCGTTAGAAGGTCGCACGTACTCGAAGCGACACAAGCGCCAAAATGCACCTCTCTGTACGTGCCTATCGAGACAGCCACATCTTCGAGAGCTACAGTGGAGCGAGAGCATTGTTTCTGATAGACCCAGTCGGTATAGATGTCGGCTAACAGCAGCCTTGTCCTCAGTCTTTCGCCTTGACTTCCTCCTGTACCATAAAAAATCCAAAACTTGTGACTTGCATGTTGCCATACTGACTCCTTCTCTCTCAGTCGCTGAGGTATTATTAAGAGCGTTGTTAAGTGTAAGTTCTTCCATCCAGATCACTTTCGAAACAAGTTTACTGACTATTCTTCCAGCCGACAAGCAGGTGTGCTGGCCAAGGTTACCAAGGTTACGACCTTCCAATCCTAATCATAGCTATCATGTCGGCACAGTTTGTCTCAGATCCTCACATTAGATTCTACGCATCAAAAATCACGAGGAAAGAAGTAAGATGCTGTTGAAAAAAAAACTCGTAAGGTCGAGGTAAAGGTGGGGAAAGTGGTATTAATTTCGAGTGAGACATCAGAGCCTGTCGTCGTCCTCTAGCTACTCTAGTATATGTTTGGTCCAAACATGGTCGTTCCACTATAGCTGCAGCATCGTCCATATGTTCGCTGGCTTGGGTGACAGAGTCGTGACTTGCGCATATTTACGGACAACTAGTAGACAGGAACCTTGAAGGCAGGGAACTTGTAAGTCCAGCTGTCAATAGATGCCTTGTCGTTCACGCAGTCGAAAGTGCTATTGCCATGCCACAGAGGGCGAGTGGGCCATTGACAAAGCATTTGAGTTTCACCCTTGTAATCGCCGGAGGAAACGGTTACGTTCAAGCGTGAAGGCTTGTTGCCATTCTCAACCCAGTCGATCATAATATTCATGTTGTTCTCGGGGTATGGGCCAGGCTGTAGGCTGTTGATACCACAATGGGCGGCACCAGGGACGAGGTAGAATTGATACCAGTCTTGAAGCTCTTTCTGGGCGTCTTCATGCGAGAGATGGCCGTACATGATGGAGCGCACTGATTGCCAGTAGTGGACCGAAGAAGCAGAAGGGACACTGGGATCAGATTCGCCGTGGTAGTGGAGGAGCTTGCCGCCAGTTTCTTTGAAGATAGTGAGGTCGGGAAGAGTGGTCTGGAGACTGTCCAGGTAGCGAACCATAGCGATGGTCATCCACTCGACGAGAGTGTCGTAGGTGACACCATCAAGGTTGGAAAGGTTGTCGAGATCCAAGAGCTGTACGAACTTGGTGACGTACTCGCCGCCAGTGGAAGGGATGTTGAGCTCCCACGAGCTGGTGTTGGTGTTGTAGGTCGGGTCAGCGTCAGATAGTTCTGAACCAATCTGCCAAGAGAGATATGCACGCTCGCCCTTTGAGTTGTGGAGACCGTCATAAACAGCTTGGGCAACTGCAACATCTTGAGCAGTGATAGTGCCATTCTGTTCGGGTGTATTACTGGTCTGGCTACCAGCCTGGCGCTTGCTGATGCCGAAACCCAAAGAAGAGCTAGTTTCAGCAGCACAGTAATAAGATTCACCAACGATGGAGCTCAGGTTGAAGTGTAGCTTACAGAGGTCAGTACGAGAGATGACACCATCGGTTCGTCCATCAAGAGGATCGCAAGCAGCAATGGTTGCATTAACAATCTTGGCCAGCGCACAGGGAGGAGGATAGTAGTCCATGGTGTGTTCGACGGTTGCAGGATAGACGTGATGGACTTGTTGCTGGGCGAAGCGGAAGGCAGGAGCGCCAGTAATAGCACCATCGTACTCGTCTCCAAAGCGCTGGACCTGACTCATACCCTCACGTCCACCATCAGAGCATCCCTCGTAGTAGGTGTAGACCTTGGTGTTGTTCATGCCGTAGAATCCCTCGGTAATGTACTTGCCGACCTTGGTCATCTCGCCCAATGCCTGGTACGAGAACATGTATGTTGCATCCCAGTTAATGGACCCGTTGCCGGCGAGAACAACTTCGTCATAGCTGTAGTCGAAGGCATCGTAGCCAGCGGAAGTGGCGCCACCAACAGCGCCATACTCGAGACCACCTGTCGCAGTGCTGGAGAGGGAGAAGCCGCCNNTAGACATGATTAGCTAATGAAGCAGACATCACGGCTCGCAGGATTTACCTCCACCGGCAACGTAGAAACGCTTTTTGAAGTCAGATGGCTGAGGGAAAGCATACTTGACAATTACCTCATCATCCTTGCCAGTATGAGTGTAGGTGATGGTAACATTGCAGTAGCTGTAGGTGGTTCCACTGCCAGAACTCATGCCGCCCATACCTCCCATACTAGTAGATGCATTGTAGACAGCACTTGCAGTGACAGCTGAAGGGATCAGATCGATGCCTAGAAGAGTACCATTGGCGGGCAGAGCAGCTTGAACATTCGAGACGGTGCAAACATCGGCGAGAGATGAGGCATTGGCAGCAGCAGTGAGACTGGCAGCGACTGCTGCGCGAGCGAAGTGGCTCATGATTGACTAAGGTTGATCGCTTGGGACAATACCGAGAAGCGTAGAAGTTTGTAGAGCGACGATGGATTGTAGAGGTGTGTTCTTTAGGTATTCTCGTGGCTGCAAGATGCTTTATACACAAGCTCGATGTCCCCGAGATGGTCTTCATCAGACCACAGGCCGCGCGACGGTGGAGATGGCGTAGCGATGGTCACGTAAGATGGCTCGAGAGTAGTGCATCGGTCCTAGAAACCCTGTATACGATAGCTCTGCTAGAAACAAGTGGTCCATGTTAGCAGTACGAGTAAAGTTTCTCCAGACATGCCAATTTGTCGCATGAGGTGGTGGCTGATGGTTGGCAGGTCGTTTGTGGCTTGCCTCGTCATATTATCTCTGTCGCTTGTGTTCGAAATCGATACAGAATACGTATTTGTATCTATTTCGGACATACCAAGCCCATCTGGCCTCGTCTCAAGAAGAGGAGTGCGACACCACGCGTGAACCTACTATGTCAAGAATCGATTCTGTGTAATTGGATCGTCACAGGTTGTGGTGGGGCGTAGGGATTTTTTTGTGGTGCGATTCTACGTGGACCGGCGAGAACATATTAGGCAAGACCGACAGAAGGCACAAGATTGACCAGACATGTTTGTTGTCGAGAGTGAGATGCTGAAGATGCGATTGATGTTGGACGTGTCGCGGAGGAAGCGTCGGCCGAGCAAAGTCATCATCTGGGCCTCGCGGCCACGGCTCAGACCGTTTTCTTCCCCTCCACAGAGGACAGTACCTTGATGAAACTTGGGACTTGAAGTCGATGAACACTCCGTATTTTCGAAGGTGGGCAGTTGCAAGCGTGTTATCGTGTGTTGCTGGTAGCTTTGGCAGTCAAGTTGAGCTTTTAGACAAAATCTTTAGTCAGCTTCAGCGATCGAGCGTAAGTCTGTTGGAGTGTTGCCAGCCACGACATGCATGACACTTCATATCTTCAATAGATTATGAGCATCGAGCAGACCCATATTCCTTTGCTCTCGCAAGAGAAACAACAATATTGTAGCAAGGAAGATGTATTGGGAGAGCAACCAGGGTGGTACTCTCAGCAGGCAGGGCTTGATGCTTGCACTGCGGAGATACTCGTACATAGCACAGCACACAGACATCGGCAAAGAGCATCGAGACGAAAGAAGGATGGTCCAGAATGTGAAGTACGATACATCGACATAGGGTCACCAAAGCCTGAGATTGGGAGGAAGATAGGGAAGGGGAGAAATTCGTCACATGAAGGAAGGCGAAAGTCAAGAAGAAGTGGTGTGCAATCAACAATGAGATTTGAATTGCTGCTGCAAACTAATAATCTAAGCCATAAACCCAGATCCTCGAAGCAACTGCCTCGCCATCATGTTTCATGCAAGGTCGTGACAGGAAAGGTGGTATCGTTAGTAGATTGCTGAACTCATGTGACCTTGAGTAAAGCACCAAAGCAAAGGAAAGACTTTTGGGATTCCAAAACGTCAAATCGTTTACTTCTTGCCAGCCTTGACAGCAGCCTTGGTGACCTTGCCGGCACCCTGCTTGTCAGACTTGACGACGGACTTGATGACACCGACGGCAACGGTCTGTCTCATGTCACTGTAAGATAGGTTAGTGAGAAGTCAAGATGAGAAAGGTCAAGGAGGATAAACATACCGGACGGCGAAACGACCGAGAGGAGGGTAGTCGGTGAAAGCCTCAACACACATGGGCTTGGAGGGAACCATCTTAACGATGGCGGCGTCACCAGACTTGATGAACTTGGGGGCGGCCTCAACGGACTTGCCGGTACGGCGGTCAATCTTCTCAACAAGCTCGGAGAACTTGCAGGCGATGTGGGCAGTGTGGCAATCGAGGACGGGTGCGTAACCGGCACCGACCTGACCAGGGTGGTTCAGGACGATGACCTGGGCGTTGAAAGAGTCACAACCCTTGGGGGNGTCGTTCTTGGAGTCACCAGCAACGTTGCCACGACGGATCTCCTTGACGGAGACGTTCTTGACGTTGAAGCCGACGTTGTCACCGGGAAGACCCTCGGTAAGCTGCTCGTGGTGCATCTCGACGGACTTGACCTCAGTGGTGACACCAGCGGGGGCGAAGGTGACGACCATACCACCCTTGATGGTACCGGTCTCGACACGGCCGACGGGCACCGTGCCAATACCACCGATCTTGTAGACATCCTGGAGGGGAAGACGGAGGGGCTTGTCGGTAGGACGGGAAGGAGTGTCGATGGCGTCAATGGCCTCGAGAAGGGTCTTACCAGTAGACTTGGTCTTGGTCTCCTTCTCCCAACCCTTGTACCAGGGGCAGTTGGTGGAAACATCGATCATGTTGTCACCGTTGAAGCCCGAAATGGGGACAAAGGGAACGTGCTTGGGGTTGTAGCCGACCTTCTTGATGAAACCGGAGGTCTCCTTGATGATCTCCTGGTAACGGGCCTCGGACCACTTGGTGGTGTCCATCTTGTTGATGGCAACGATGAGCTGCTTAACACCAAGGGTGTAGGCGAGAAGAGCGTGCTCACGGGTCTGGCCATCCTTGGAGATACCAGCCTCGAACTCACCAGTACCGGCGGCGATGATGAGAATGGCGCAATCAGCCTGGGAGGTACCAGTGATCATGTTCTTGATGAAATCACGGTGACCGGGGGCATCGATGACGGTGACCATGTACTTGGGGGTCTCGAACTTCCACAGAGCGATATCGATAGTGATACCACGCTCACGCTCGGACTTCAGCTTGTCGAGGACCCAGGCGTACTTGAAGGAACCCTTGCCGAGTTCGGCGGCTTCCTATGAGATTGTCAGACATTGTTGTTGATAATGGTTGGTAGACATGGGTGGCGAAGAGGTGTTGTGAAAATTTTGCGAGTCGGGCGTCAGATGCAGTGAGTCAAAGCGCGAAGCTGAGCTCAACCCCACCAGACAGCCCTCTCCAGGATGAAAAATGTGATGAAGCAACGATCTCGTCGAGAAGAAAGCGCAGAGATATGATTGAGTTGAAGGAGGAGGATGGCTTACCTTCTCGAACTTCTCGATGGTACGCTTGTCGATACCACCGCACTTGTAGATCAAGTGACCGGTGGTGGTCGACTTACCGGAGTCGACGTGGCCGATAACGACGACGTTAATGTGGGACTTTTCCTTACTGTAGACGGCGGTCAGATCCTGTCATAGGCATAGCAGAGGATGGCAGAGCGCCAGAGACAAAGACATACCCCATGTTGACGGTTGTGTATGGAAGATTGAGTGAAGTACGGTTGAACTTTCTGAAGAGAGGTTAGAAAAAGAGAAAGGAAGAAAAGGACGAGCAGATCCAAGAAATAGCAAAGTGGAGCCCGCTCGAGGAGGTCAAAGCTTACCAGATACGATTGCTTGATGAACCGTGGTATGAAGACGCTGATGAGAAGAAGGGCGCGGGAGGGGTGGCCTTTTTGAGTGTGTGTGAGGGCGCGCACTGACTAAGCGAGGAAGGAGGGTCTAGCTTCAGTTGCCCCGCCAAGCTAGTTTTTTTCTTTCTCACTTTTTGCAGCTTCGTTGGGAGCCAACAGCGGGACCAGGGAAAAAAATGATGTAACGGATGATGAGCCAACTGTCGTCTCTTATTTTTTGCTCGCTATGGGACCGCGGTGGCGGAGGCAAACTGCTTGAATCGACAATTGAGCGTGTATCTCTCAGTTGCGGTGTCTCAACAGGGCCACAGCTGTCCACCTTCACGTGATAACATGCTCGATGAACTGCTCACCAGGCTCTCTATTCGTGCCGATGTGCCTATTATTTCCTCTGTATAGCCGCTCACTACGTAGTGCTTTGGTGAGCTATCGATAACGTTTGGGCAGCACTGTCAATTGAGGGCAACAGAGCCGCCGCTTTGCGCTCCTTCCTCTTCAAATTTTCCCGGCACACCGCTCGTCCTGTCACCTCTCCCCCGTTGCTTGCAGCTCGCCATTTGCCGCAGTGGATAGTCGCGCGCCTAGCCTGGCCTGTTATCCAAATCCTCGTTTTCCCATCCCTTCGCTATCCACTTTGCTACCCCGCCGCCACCAATGTCTTCCGCAGAAGCTATCCCCGCCTACAAGCGCGACCTCATCTCGCTCACCCTCTCGTCCAACATCCTGACCTTTGGCTCCTTCACCCTCAAGTCCGGCCGTGTCTCGCCCTACTTCTTCAACTGTGGTCTGTTCTCCAAGGGCAAGCTCATCCGCGGCATCAGCGAGGCCTACGCCCGTACTGTCGCCGAGTATTGCTCCGCCCACCCCGAGTTCCAGTTCGACGTCCTCTTCGGCCCTGCCTACAAGGGCATTCCTCTCTGCGCCACCACTGCCGAGAAGCTTGCTGGCATTGACGAGGCAAAGTATGGCGACCTCGGTTTCGTTTACAACCGCAAGGAGGTCAAGGACCATGGCGAGGGTGGTCTGATGGTTGGCGAGAGCCTCAAGGGCAAGAAGGTTGTTGTCATTGACGATGTCATGACTGCCGGCACTGCCATCAGAGAGGCCATCAGCATTATCAAGAGCCAGGGTGGCGAGCTCGTTGGCATCATTGTTGCCCTCGACAGACAAGAGAAGACTCCCAGCCAGGGCGAGAAGGAGGGTAAGCCCGATGACGGCTCCGACAGACCAAGCACCATCGGCCAGGTTCGTCAGGAGACTGGTGTGCCCGTCCTTGCTGTCTTGACCCTCGACGATGTCATTGAGGGTGTCAAGGGCCAGGCCACCGAGGAGCAGCTCAAGGCCATGGAGGACTACAAGAAGAAGTACGGCGCAAGCAGCTAGACGATTGAGATGAAGCATACGATGCCGGAGACGGCGAATTAGAATAGATACCCATGACAACCCAGCGGGAAAAGCATTATACTTCCACTATACTTTCAAAGACCTCCCTTGACCAAGCTCCTGGCAACATTGCATCGTGACATGAACGTTCTCACAAGACTGCTTTTTGTACCAGCTGCTTATTCAGAAGAAATCAATCAACGCCTAACATGCTCTCAAAGACATACTCGAAGTGCAAAAGATGCTTGCCGAGGGCGGCTACATGCTCGTAACAAAGGAAACGGATCTACCATCCGACCTGCGGACGACCCTGTTAGTAACTTCGTTGTTTGTTATGAGTCTGGTGTTGCTGAGTTGTGGGACTTCGGGTCTAGATTTTGTGTTGATGCTGGAGATGAAAAAGCAGGTGGTGTATGATATGAGAAAGGTGTGAGGGGTGTCTGTGACTGTGGTGTTGCAGGGCTTGTGGGCGGCTGTGACTGTTGTGTCGCAGCAGACACCTCCTGGTCACCATCATTCAGAGCCTCGACAGTGGTTGTGAGTATATGAGGCAGGTTACGAGCTGGGCGTACTGATGGCTGGCCATGCTCAGTCGTCTCGATCATGTACTCGTCAAAGCCTGAGTCTTGATGTACTGGCGGTCCAAACAAGACACGCTGCTGTCCTTGCGGGTGTGGAGAATCTTCATCGCTCTCCGGTACTCGTCTTGTGTATTGTTGATGGTGATTATCGGCTATTTGGTGCGAGTTGAAAGCATCCAGCTGGAACGGCGGAGCGTCAGGCACGGAAGGTCTTTGTGGTGTCATGTTTGTAGGGCGGTCTCGTGAGCCTTGAGCATACTCAAAGCCCGAGATGTCTTCATCACAGAGGTACTCGCATACTGGCACTCCTTGGCTCAAAGACAGACTAGTGGTGCTGCTCGCTGCAGACCTTTGACGATAGCCATGCGGGCTTCTGCCTCGATGAGGTATGACATAACTTCCAGTGCTGTCGATTCTGTACTCAGTAGATGTCGCTGCATTGACAAACTGATACGGATCCGTCGTAGGGTACGAAGGAACAAAGTCAGCCGGCTTTCGCTGTCCTCTTTTGAACTCTTCCACTGCGTCCCAGTCAACGGCGGTCGTTGGATCGCTGAATTCCTTGTGAGAGTGATGGTTAGTAAGGCTGTGGTCGGAACTTCTTGGGCTGACGCGCCTCTTCTTGTACTCTCGCGGATGAAGTGGAAACATTGTCAGCAGCTCTTTTGCGCTCGGTCGGTTTCGAGGTTGATTGCTTAAGCACGCATCGATGATATCCTCAAACCAGTTTGGCACATCCTGTGCCGTGATACGAGGCATTGCCCCAGAACTGGTTCTTGTAACATGCTCAGGCTCATCATCCTGCTCCGCCAGTGCCCAAAGAACCATACCTAGCTGAAATATGTCACTTTTCACGTTAATAAACATGCTAATCTTCTGCCCTCTTCGGACAAGACGAAGAAGCTCCGGTGGCTCCCATCCAATAGGGCAGCCACGACGATTGATGTCGATGATTTTTGCATCGTCCTCGTGGTCGATGACAATGTTGGACAGAGTGAAGTCGCCTTGGACAAACCCAGCTTCGTGAATCTCAGCGAGGCCTTGAACAATTTGATGAGCCCACCTCTCTCGCCGATGCCATGGTAGCGAACTGCTCTGCTTGTCGTCATAGATGACATCCACAAGAGCACCAAGCGACGCAAAAGATATCAGCAGCCCCTTGATTATCTTCTCGTCATCATCGACCACCAAGCCATGAAAGTCAATCACACCTTTTGAACCTCGAAGTGCGTTGAGCACCTCAATCTCGTACAAGAACTCATCGATTGTATCTGGGCCTGGTATCTCTTTCTTAATCAGGACCTGATTGCCGACTCTGACTTTGTAAACGAATCCGGAGATGTGTGATTGGAAGTCGAGCTCGCTCTCGCGGTAGATGCGACAGTCCCTATCGACAAAGTCTACGGATGGATATGAGATGATTTCGTTGATGTCCTCGGTGACATGAACATGTAACTGTCCATCTTCTGTCTCCAGCTTTAGGTTTGTAACAGTTTCGTAGAAGTCTATGTCGAGTAAAGACTCTCTGATAGCTTCGTATATACGCTGGTTCTTGTCTCGTTGGAACTTGAGAGATTTGAGATCTGATTCGAGGGATGATGGCGGTGCGTCTCGGTAATCACAAGACACGGTTACTCTGCACCAGCGGTTCGGTTGTTGGGCGTAGGTAACAAAAAATTTCTCACGATCAGACTTGTCCCGAAAGTGCATGCTCAAGTTGAGAATCCACGTCGATTCGAGTTCGGCTTGCAGATCACGGTCGTCCAGAAACGTAGGCTCGTCAGTCGCCTCCAACATAGGCGGTACGTTTTGGAGAGGAGGAGGCTTGGATAAATGGTCATGCTGAACATCTCCAAGTGTGAGGGCTCTGGTATCAAAGTAGCTCTCTGCAGGAGTGTCGGCAAATGGCAAGCGCATATGTCCTGGGGTACTGATATCTGGGGCTGAGCGAGATGGTGATGTAGCTGATAGAGGAGACTGACAACGTCCAGGACTCATTGCTCGAGGTCGCCGTTCGGCGCTCACCGCTCTTCTCTCTGTTGCACTGGGTTCAATTGCTAGAAGCCTTTCTCTTTTTCGGAATTCTGCCTTCTGGTGGTGAATTGTCGTGACAGTTCGGGAACAACCTTCTTAGACTTGGACAAGGTACGGCCGAGCAAGCTATTTCCCCGCGACCTTGATGGTGCCAGCACTGCATCCTGTTGTACTGAGCCATTGTTTCCTGATTCCAGTGTTGGCGCAAGGTGGTCATTCAAGGCTTGCTTCTGAGAGTCTTGGTGTGACGGTTCGTCAGGCAAAGCAGGATCGACTTCGTCCCTCCTCAGCCATCCGCCAATCTTATGCAAAGTTCGAAGGACAGAAGAAGAACGTTTTCTCGAGGAGTCAAGTTTTGGTAGGTCGCGTCGAGGTTCGGGCATGTCTTGATGAAGCGCATGGCTGTTACTGCTGGCGAGTGGGAAGAGCTGTGGCATAACGATGGGATCTGACCATTCACAGTTCGCGGCACCCTCGCTCATGTATCCGTCATCCGAACAACGAAACCAAGGCAGGCTAGGCTCGTACGAGGAACTATTCTCGAACCCAGGTCGCGCAACTGTGCGGGTTCATGGTCTAATCAAGTTCCAGGCAATGCGGGGCACACGGCGGGTGCTGATGAGATGGGGAGGCAGTGCATCCTCACACAAGTTACACAGGGATCAGGAGGCTGAAATACTTCCAGCATGCCTTGGCCTCAACTGGTGCATGTTGCATGAGGCGCAGAAGCTTCACCGGAAGGGACGCGGTGTGTGTGGAGACAAAGAAGATCGCCCCAGCCGGATGGAATGGAAACCAACATTCTGAATCGCGAGGCTGGTCAATCATGTTGCTTGTTCATAATCCTGCCATCATCCTGCCAGCCACCTCGACCGACATTGTTTTTGGCCGCTCGTCAAGCGCAGTCAACCGCTGTCAGATATGATATAATGCCCGTCACCAACACGAGTCGATCATTGACAGCTGTTGGCCAGTGCCGCAAGCCTTGGAGCGCTCTGAGGAAACCTCAGTCCATGGCCTTGCATCTGCGCTCCTGCAGACATGCGCACATTGTCATTTCACCATTTCGGTTACGATCACCCCTCGTTCGCGCCTCGCGACTGGTTGGTCTCTTGTGTTTCGTCGCTATTCTACCTGCAACAAAGTGGGGTTGAGCCGGTCTGACCTCAAGAGAGAATCCTGGAAACAATGCGATACCGAGTCTTATCCTTCTGGAGGATATAAAACCGCAGTCTGCTTTTGGCGACATGAACCATCGACGACTCTTCGTGTGCCACGACAGCCGTCTTGCCCGACGCTGAGCTGGCTCTCCGGGGAACAAACGCGCGCAGCCATAGCGCTGCTTCTATCGTCAGGGACAAAGGACTAGCTCTGCAGTCTTCCTTTTGACATATGCAGCTTCGATGTGCCCCACGTTGCCTTCGAGAAGGTTTTATCGCCTCTGTTGCTGCGCTAGTCGTATCGCTTCCTTGAAGAGCAACTGCAACATTCAACCAACCCAAAGCCGTTCTCGCATAGCTGTACTACCGAGAGAGCTAACAACCCCAACCTTCCATCTTTCGAAGCTTCACTGATCGATACACTGTATCATGTATCTATGATCAGCTTCTTCGCATTATCTCAGCTCGACCCGTGATGGACAATGCAACACACGACTATATCCACCTCCACATTCTAACATGTGACTTCCTCGAAATCCAATTGCGACGAGCACAAGCCAGACTTTGGAGACCAACAAGGTGGAAGTATCAGACTCAGAACTTTGGCAATCTACCATTCGAGTGAATTCATCAGGCAAATGGCGAAAAGTTGATCGATACAAGGTCTCCTCGAGATTGTCAAGGATATTATCGTTCGCTTGGAGAAGCAACAAAATCACCTGAACAGGAACATTCAAACTGATGATATGGATGCAGCCAAAGCTAAGTTTATCTCTCATCCTGAACTGCAATACTGCAAACGTAGTAAGGAAGGATAGGTTGCTTTCTGTCTTTTATTCTTCAGACCTCACTCTCATCAAGCTTTCTGTACTGCACGCGATCATCTATTTCCTCTTGAGCGAGACATCTTGCTGGGTGCTTTACTATCTCTGAAGTTTACCCTTCTCCGTTCGCTACTGCCTCTCTTCAGAGCTTCCGTCGGCGAACGCAGTCTTCCGTTGATCACTGACTGCAAGTATCACTCGCTTGGTATCAGGTACCTCTACGCCTTCCGTGACGAGACTTGGTCATCTCGCTCTTGAAGCTAGTCATATAGCATTGAAAGTTGCTGTTATAGCTATACTTCACTGCAGCCAATGACTTGAGTCGTTCGACCACCTATGCTCTCACCTTCTTACTTGCCTCAATCAGTACACCAGTATCAGCTTCGACACCAAGCCGTCACCTCTCCTACAACCCACCTTCCCGACCTCCTCTTTTCACAGTCTTCGAACCTCTAGTACCTCACACTTCCGCCTTTCACATCGACCTTCGTCACCCCTTCAATCTCTTTCACACCTCTCAGCTTCTCTCATATCCTTCTCTACTACTCTATATATATCACCTCCTACATCACGTCTACCTCCTCCAACTCGTAACCTTCCTCCGACATTTTCACCTTCATACGCACCTTCTTCCATCATATAATCTCAGCTACTCATTCGCCTCCCACAACCCACAAGCCTTCTTTAACCACACATGGACTCTGGCATTCAGTCGCCCGACGTGGCAGACCCCTTCATGAGCCGCTCTTGGAACCTCGAGTCCTACTACAGCGCCATGGCTCAGCCACTCGCTGGCTCCATGCACGCCATCGTGCCTCAAACCTATATGCCAACCAATCCGCAAATGACAAACACAGACATCGTCATGATGCGCCAGCTAGACAATCGCATTACTAGTCTCGAGCAACAGCAGTTCCAAGACGGACTCGACTCTCACTACCGTCATATGCAAACCTCGCAATCACTCCAGTATCTTCAGCGCCAGGTGCAGCGATTGCAAAGTGCCATAACCTACGACATTCCCTCACTCCGTCTCGAAGTCTCTGATCTCCAGGCCAGGCTGAACGCCAGAGAAAATGATGATTGCACTCGACAGATCCAGCTGGAGCCGCGAACTCACAACCAGAAGCTGGAGTCGGCAATGAAGAACGTCAACCTGATGCGAATCTACGCCGGCGTCTCTTTGCATGGCAATGCAACCTTTGAACAAGTCTCTCTCCGAGCCGCAGAGCAGATGGAGGCTCTGGCAAAGACTCTCCGTGGCAGGGTGTACCGTGGTGGTGCGGCTTATCTCCTCGAGGCAGAGGATGCCGAGGCGTGGGCCGCCAAATTGAGAGAGGACATCAAGCCCGCCGAGAAGCGCAAAGTTGACGAGGACTTGTGGAGAAACTGCGAGTTCTGTTTGGAGGAACAGGACCAGGTCAATGCCGCAGATTTCCATGATGTTGGCCATGCAACTACGGACACCGAGCCTTCGAGACATGTCGACGTAACCCTCGAGAAGATTGCAAGCTCGATGACACTCAAGGAGATTGAAAGCTGGAAGGCCCCAAGTCCTCAAAGCGAAGCGACGAAGTCTTCGAGAGCGAGAAGCCCATCGAGCGCAAAGAAACTCGGCCTTGTCCAGAACACAACTAGCACGCATGAGGAAGCAGCTCCATCACAGGCATCTTCCGCGAAAGACAGCGCGCACCAATCTCAGCGTGCCTACTCCCCAAAAGGCTCGCCATCCACAGTCTCAATCAAGATTGAAGAGTCTAGCACAAGCGAGTCTAGCTTGGTGCGGCTACAAGTAGCTCAACCACAAAAGCTCGCTCTTGATTCACAACATGCTATTCCGACGGTCGAAACCATCGAGAGTTTGGTGATAGAGCCCGAAACCAACACCGAGACGGCAATTGGCGATACCATCGACATTCCCAAAGTTGACAGGGCACAAGTGCCACCCAAGAGACTGCCACCTCATCGCAGATTTCCTTCTGCACAGACCGGCGCTCCCAAACTTGCAGAAGTTGAGCTCGACATCACTGCCAGGAACGAAACACCAGCGACTCCGACGACTCCGACGACAGGCAAGTCCAAGAAATCCAAGAGGAGAAGGACAGCAAGAGTCAGAGCCGCCGAGACTGAAGTGGTACAGACAGACCACGCAAAGTCTCCTGCTAGAACAAAGAAGCTTCCCCCTCACCGCAAACGTTTCTCTGAACAGATTGACGCTCCTGAGCATGAAGCTGATGTCACAAGGATGGATGAAGCGTTGCCTTCGGAGGCAGTCGAGTCGAACGCAGTGCCAGCAGATGGGATCAAAGCAGTCAGGTTCCAAGATGCAGTCGAGGTTGAGCAGAAACAGTTGGACCAGAACTTTGAGAAGGATGTATCATCCGATGAGCAAGATGAACCCATCTCTACACTGGACTTGAACTTCCAGATCTGGCAGCCCACATATCTCAAGGAACTACCTCTGCTTCCAACCGACAAACTCGAAGCCATCCCATCATCTCAAGAGATGCACGGTTTCGACCGCACCTTCATCACCACCCACCTTGGTGGCACAAAATGGTTCCCTTCATTCTATACGATTCCCGAGTCGGAGTTGTCGCTGTTGCCAGGCCGTGGTTACTTTCTGCTAGAAAACATCACCGAGCCACTTGCTCCTTCGACACCAGGATCCCATGGCGGTCTTTTGACTCCAGTCCTTCGTCTTCCTGAAGCCGACGATTCTACAGGTCCCAAACCAGAATCTATGCAATCCGCCCCTCTCTTCCTCAAACGCGGAGACAAATACATCTATTACGGCATGTACTCCTACCTCCGCAGCGACCGCTGGGACATTGAACGCTGCTCCATCATCCCGACCTATCTAAAGCAGCACTGGGCCACCCAACTAACCTCNCCCCACCGACCAAAATGGGTCACCGATCTTCTACAACACCACCTCTTGCCTCAACCCACTTACTCTCGCCCTACATCCTCTTCCTCCGAAGACGCCGTCCTCGATGCCATCACCGCTCACCATCAAGCCCTGGACACCTGGCACAGAGACACCCATCTCAAAATCTCCTTTTTGCGACCAGAAACCATGCTCGCTGCTTTCGAAGCTCCAGACACCGGTACCGAAATGCCAGGTATAAGGTTCTGGTGTCTGGGTCTCGAGTGTGAAGGTTGGGATAAAGGATTCTACGATATGATGGTGCGCGAAGAAAAGGTTTGGGAAAAACAAGGCAGAAGGGATGGAGAAAAGGAGAGAGAGGCGCACCAAAAGATGTTGAAGATGTTGGGAAAGGGTAAGCCGGTCAAGTGGTAGCGGAAGAGAAGGTCTGCTTTTTGATCTTCGAAGAGAAAAAAAAAGCTTTTGGGATAGATACCTGGAATGCATGAGCTTACGATGAGCGAAAACGGCCCGGTAAAAAGGTATCGACAACCCATGGATCCTGAGGCTGGGAGGAAAGGAACCAGCCAAAGCTCCGACTGTCATCAACAAAGACTTTGCTGGACAACAACTGCTCAACGATCTTTGAGGCATCGGAGACAACAACCATCTTGGGAAAAAGAACTCGAAAGAAGAAAGTCATGGAACAAGGTCCACAGCATACTTGACATCACTTTTTTGCTTTAGGAGAGACTCGTTTGCAGGAGAATCATTTGATGCATTTCAGCATCAGGTCCATAGATTTTTGGAGAAAACAAGAAAGGTCAGGAGATCAATTTATATCAAGGTTTTCATGAACCCAAAACGACCCATAATTACATGTATCAAAAACCAACCCAAACAGCGTGAGCGTAACCCCCAGAAGACATCATCTCACCAAGGAGATTGGAAAAGTAACGCCCGTGATGAACATCTACAACCAAGAAAATGCTTTGAAAACTGCCGTGACAGACGTTGTGCTCCCTCGATCCCTTCTCTTTCCAGGAAGAAGAAACCCTGCCTCATAAAAACGAAACTCCATAAAATGTATATCTCTTCCCATCCAAGCTCTTACATTCTCCTGGGGCCAAAGTAGAGCAGACCACCGATACCAGTAAATGTCAGACCCATCCACCACCAGCGGTCGGGGTTCATGACTTGGTTCTGAACGCCCATCTTGAAATTCGTGGGCACCTCTCTGGGGATGTCGCGCTTTGCTTTTGAAGTAGAGGTGGGTGCGCCGGCAGCGAGAGTGGGATTGAGAGTCTGGGTGGGCAGCATTTGGGGAGGAGAGTAGACGAGGTACATGGGTTGCATGATTTTGCCGTCGAACTCGGTAAGATCGAGGCGGGCGATGCCGTGGTAGGGATCGGTGTAGACGCGGTATGCCTTNNTTCTCCTTGTTAGTATTGTCGCTGGGAAGCGGAGCGTGCGAAACTCTGAACATACCTTCATCTTCTCGGTAGTGTTGTAGCGCGTGTAAATGGAGTGGCTGCCCTGGCAGGGTTGCGAGAGTAGTTGGCGACCGTCGACGGCGATGGGTGTCATGGTAATGGAACCGTCGCTGCCGATCACGTAGCTACCGTGTTGCCATTGCATGATGGCGCCAGGGCATGAGGGGTTGGCGGGGTTCGAGATGGCGCGGTAGTATGCTTCTTCGTAGAAACCATCAGATGTAAAGGAGTAGGAAATGCCCGGTCGCGCGGGCTCGATCAGGTTGTCGTTGACGGGGTCGAAGAAGCTCTGCGGTACTTGTTAGTGGTCGTCTGGCATGGCATCTTGACGATAGAGAACGTACGGNNGACCGGTCAAGGTCTTGTTGCCCTTGGTGGCCCATGTGCCGACCAGGTTGGCGTCGACCAACTGAGCGGAAGCGGCACTGCTAAAGGCGAGCGTCGCCGTCAGGGCGAGTGCTGAGGGGAGTCTCATGTCTGTGGCGCGCTGTGTTCGGAATGTCTTCGTCGTTGGTAGGCGCGTACTGAGTCGACAAGGGTATCGTTTGGTCGTGTGTTGTTTTCGCAGGCAAACAGAATGAATTGATTGGCAAGAAACCTTGTTGAGCGAGTGGTCGATACAACAATCCAAGCCTCAAGGACGACGACGCGCTTGGCAGGCCCAAAACACGGAGAAGGAGGAGCCTGCGAGCCCCTGCCCGAAATAGCCTGCCACATGAAACACAACTGCCTGACTCGATCATCATCACCACCGCTATCAAACCACATGCTGTACACGTCTCTGAGGCCAACAATTGCTACTCGCGCTGTCCATACCTTCAAGACCGCTGCAAACATCCAAACATCTCAAATGTCGTCAACCACTCTAGACCTGGGTGCCGAGTCTCAACTGTCCGACAAGAAGGCCGTGAGAAAGCAACTACACAATCTCCTCTCTTCACTGCCTTCAGATCACGTCCAACGTCAATGTCCGTCTTTCACGTAGTCTGCGACAAATCTTCCATAGTCAAACTGACACTTCGTAAGCNNCATCAATGCCACAAAGCTACTCTTGTCGTTGCCCGAGTATAAGAATGCTCGTTCCATCAGCATCTTCATGTCCATGCCTTCTGGTGAGATCGACACCAAACATCTTACCAAACATGCTCTGAACACGGGGAAGCGTGTCTTTGTGCCGTACATCTACAAGCCAAAACAACCTCGTCGAGATGATGTGCCTACCTCCATCATGGATATGTTGCAGTTAGCTGACGAGGACGACTATGCCTCGCTCCAGCCTGATAAATGGGGCATTCCATCCATCCCCAAAGAAACTGTCCCAGATCGTGCAAACTCCTTCGGAGCATCAGGCGTTACTGATGGAGACTTACCTGCTCCTGACTCTGCAGGTCTGGACGTGATTCTCATGCCCTGCATGGCTTTTGACCAAGAACTGAATCGTCTGGGTCATGGAAAGGGCTATTACGACAACTTTCTCACACGGTCTTGCTCGACAAAAACAGCAGATGGACAGAACAGAAAGAAATCGTTTTTGGGTATGTACCGACGCCTTTTTAGCATTTTTCAATAATGTCCCTCCTCTGACCTCTTGGTATCNCTAGTGGGATTCGCGCTTGCTGAGCAAATGCTTCCTTCTCAATATCGTCTGCCAATTGATCCATGGGACTGGAAGGTTGATGCGGTGGTGCTCGGAGATGGCGGGTCAGAGGCCAGATTGGTAAGGGCTTGAGTTGGTGAAGAGGCGCTCATGATGGGTGGCGGAGATGCAGAGCGGCTATGGTCGCTCTAGGCATTCTCGATGGAAGGAAAGTCGTCAAACTCATAGACTCTGGATGAGAGCAACGTTGTCGCCCTTGAGGAGGATTTGGCCNNTGAGGGTACGGGTTAGCGCATGAAGCAATGGGTTCGTCGCAGTGGACGAGAGCATACCGAGGCTTCTTCTCGACTCTTCGGGGTCGGTCTTTGTGGGTTGCTTGACCTCGATGGCATCGTCGACGACCAAGTTCATGAACTCATCGAAACCCTGGAGAGTCAATCAGTATGCGCGCAGATGGGTGGTGGTGACAGCAGAACGCACTCTGATGGTTCCCTCAATACGGATGCCCAGCTGTTCGAAGAGCCATATCGAGACCTTTGCGCGGGTCTGAAGGAGCTTGAAAATGTAGTTGATTGGCGGCAGCAGCACCTTTCCACCTCCTCCGCGTCCGCGTCTCTCCATCTTGTCTGAGGATTGTGGTTGTGGATGGGGTCGAGATAGTAGATGGCAGTTGGCTGTACCGGATGTTACAGTGAGACAGAGTCGAAGCGAGTGGTGAGTGAGGGTGGATAATGGCGATGGAGTGGATGCGACACGGTCTCGTCGCAACAGCAGCAAGAGCAGGAGCGGCTCCAGTTGAAGCAGGTGCAGGCGCACGGACGAAATGTGCTTTCTGCGTCAGTGTCAAGTGCGGCCAAAGAAACATAACCAAATCAACAAAGCCGCTCTTTTTGTCTATTAATTGCCCGCTGCTCTATTCATCTGCAGTTTGTATTGCTTGTCGCCGCCACACACGCCCTCTTCGCCAATCATTCTACCACAGCACCCCTCCGCTGCTTGTCCTGTGCAAGCCGCTCACTCAAACACATCCCACCATGGCCGCCAACGGCACCCAGGCCTTTGCGCCAGTACTGGCCGCCCTCCAGACCATGCAATCCAACGTGGACCGCGCACAGAAGGGCCAGGCACACGAGTTCCTCGAACAATTCCAGAAATCTGTACGCTCCGTCACATGCACATGCCATGCTCCAACGCCCCACTAACCATAGCAGAACGAAGCATGGAACACGACCTTTATGATCCTGAACTCGCCCGATGCCACTACCGAATCAAAGCTCTTCGCCGCAACAACCCTCAAGGGCAAGATCGTCTTCGACTTCCATCAGCTTCCTCGCGAAGCCCTGCCCGAACTACGCAACACTCTGCTATCGCTGCTCGCCCAATTCAGCCAGGGCCCGAAGCCTATCCGCACACAACTATGCGTCTGCCTCGCCAACCTCGCTATCCAGATGCTCGAGTGGAAGGACGTCTTACAGCTCGTCGTCTCCACCCTCGGCAACGACCCTAACGGCATCGCCTGTGTCCTCGAGTTCTTGCACGTCCTACCAGAGGAAGTCACAGAAGGCAGAAAGATCAACCTCACCGAAGACGAGCTTAGAGACAGGACGGTCGAGCTGTTGGAAGAGAACGGGAATCAGGTCCTCACATTGCTCAACCAGTACGCACAGTCGTCCGACGCCGCCTCCAAGAACCCCCAACTCATGGAGTGCATCACATCATGGATCAGAGAAGTCCCGCTGAACGACATTGTCAACTCGCCTCTACTGGATGTCCTCATGAACGCCCTGGAAGCCGACTCGTCTTTCGATTCCAGTGTCGAGACACTATGCGCCATCTTCAGAGAGACTAGGGATGTCGATGAATGCATGGCCATCATCAAGACCATGTACCCTAGAGTCATGTCTATTCGCCCCAAGATTGCCCAAGCTGCCGAGGCAGAAGACTTTGAAATGTTCAAGGGTCTGACACGCATCTTTTCAGAGGCTGGTGAAGCTTGGGTCGTCCTCATCGCTCGTCTGCCAGAAGACTTCCGTGGTCTGGTCGAGGCCGTGCTTGAATGTGCTGCCAGAGATACCGAGAAGGAAGCCATCAGTAACACTTTCATCTTCTGGTACGAACTTAAGCAGTACATCACTTTGGAGCGCTACATGCAGGCTCGCATGCAGTTTGTCGACATCTACCTGAACCTGGTCGACATTATGATCGGACACCTCGAATTCCCCAAGCCCGAGAGCGGCAATGACAACGACCTCTTCGATGGTGATCGCGAGCAGGAGGAAAGATTCCGTGAGTTCCGTCACCAGATGGGCGACGTGCTGAAGGACTGCTGTGAAGTCATTGGGGTCACTGAGTGTCTGCAAAAGTCATACGTCAAGATTGAGGAGTGGGTCAACACATACGGTCCGCAAGCCAGCCCGGGAAACGTCCCCGAATGGCAGAAGCTCGAGGCTCCCCTGTTCAGCATGCGCGCCATGGGTCGCATGGTTCCTCCGGACGAGAATATCATGTTGCCCAGACTTGTGCCTTTGATTGTTCAGATCCCGGATCAAGAAAAGGTCCGCTTCCAGGCTGTCATGGCACTTGGAAGATACACCGAGTGGACTGCTCAACATCCTGACACTCTCGAAGCCCAACTCAACTTCATCATGGCCGCCTTCGATCATCCTTCCAAGGAGGTCGTCACTGCTGCTGCTCTGTCCTTCAGATTCTTCTGCAATGACTGCTCCGAACTCCTCAAGGGCTTCGCCAACCAGCTTCAGACCTTCTACGAGACGGTCATCAACAGACTACCACCTACCAGTCAAGAGGAAATCACAGAAGGTATGGCATCAGTACTCTCGAAACAGCCCGTCGATCAAATCTATGCTTCGTTCAAGATGTGCTGCGACCCTGTCGTCAAACGTCTGATGGACATGGCTCAGTCCGCCACCAGCGAAAAGGAAAAGCTGGCTCTTGCGGACCATCTCAACCTCATCACTATCTTTGTGCAATGGATTCAACCAGAAATTAGACCTGGCGAGCCGCATCCTGCCGTGCAATACTGTCAGGAGATCTTCCCCGTTCTGGCTACCATTGCCGACAACTTCTCCAATTTTACTCCCATTCTTGAGCGCGTCTGTAGATGCTGGCGTTACATTGTGCTCTCCTATCGCACACATACCGCACCGCTTCTTCCCAGTCTAGCGGAGAAGCTTGCATCAGGCTTTGCCGCTTCTAGGCAAGGCTGCTTCCTTTGGGCCACCGACTCGATCGTTCGTGAGTTCACTGACGAATCAGAAGGCGTCAGCCCTGAGACGACACAAGCAATCTTCAACTTCTACGTACAACAAGCCACTACCTTCTTGCGCGCGCTCAACGACTTGCCCCCAGAGCAACTACCCGACGTCATCGAAGACTTTTTCCGCCTCTGTGTCGACGTACAAGCCTATCACTCACGCCAGTTTATTGCGAACGAGCTGACACCCACAATTCTGTCTGCCGCCTCCACCTCGCTCACACTTCTCAAAGACGAGCCAATCCTGGCGACTCTCCACTTCCTGCGTGACTTTCTCGCATACGGCGGCGAGAACGCACCCATCTCAACTTTCAGCGAAGATCCCAACCGCCGCCTGAACCCACCAGAGATTCAAAACGCCGTCAAAACACTCACATCACAGCAAGGCGATGTGCTCGTACAACGCTTGATGACGGGAATGATGTATACCTTCCCTGCAGATTGTTTCCCGGACGCCTCTGGCGTATTGCTCGCCATGTTCCAATTAATGCCTGAAGCTACAGCAACCTGGACGGCTAGCACCGTCTCAATGCTTCCTTCTGGATCAATCAGCCCGCAAGAACAGGAGCGGTTATTGCGCAATATTGAGCAACGCATCCAATCTGGAGATACTCGCAAGATCCGTACACTCCTGCAAGATTTCACCAATTCATACAGGAGGAGAAACGTTGCGCCCAGAGAAGGCTTGGGTAGACTGGAAGCCGCGAGATTCCGTTTCGCTGGGTAAATGCTTCTCGATCGTTCCTTCTTCCCAGCGGCTGCTTTCTTTCGACGTATATAGATTCTTGGAGAGCGTCTCGAAATGTTTTTGCTACTTCTAAGAAGAAAGAAAGGGTCTCCCCGAAAGGCATTTAAGCGCATCACTGACTCTTTTTCCCTTGTTTTGTTTTTGGGATTAGAAATTGAACATTCTCTCCCACAAAAAAAAACACTCTGCTTTCCAATCTATTCCTTTCCATATTGTAGATGTCCAGGATGTAGACCGTCTTGCTCCTGCCCCCTACCGCGTAAATATTTGAGAGTGTCGTCGATGACATTCTTCCTCATGCGTGATGTGAGGGTACGTACCTCTAAATCTGGGCAGCGTACCTCTTTGAGTGTTTGACTGCCCATGTCTTTATGCAGAAGGGGTTATTTGTAAAAGATTTTTTGTTTTTTTGCACATTTATGAGAGATCAAGAGCCGATTTTCTTTGTAAACGCAAATTTCCCATGTCCCTTGTGACTGCTGACTGTGTTGAGGTGAAGGAGAGAAATTGTTTCTTTTTGATCTCCAAAAAATAAACCCCCCCTTTTCGAAATTTCTAGGTATCGCTATATCTTATCCTTTTTTTTTAATCTTTTTGTGTGTATCTTGTGTTTTCTCGTGGTTTCAATCTCGTTGACTTTTGGTCGGATTGTTCTGTGTTTCCGTGACTGTCGTTTTCTCTTTGATTGTACTGGTGTATGGCTGGGAGGAGCTTCAAAGAAGTCTAGGCTTGGGACTTGAGGTGTTTGGTTCCCGAGGAAGATAGTCCAGAGTCCCTCGTGATTGGAATGTTTTTCGAGACCCCAAGAGTTTGAGGGAAACAAGTAAATTCTGATCTCTGGTGCTTGTGACTTGCCCCCTTTTTGCCTATCTTTCTTGTCCCAGATTCTGGTTCGTGGCCTGCAGAAAGAGGCTTGGTGGGTTGAGTGTTTCGGGTTTCATGTTTTGTTGGTTGCTGGGAGGGTTTAGAAGGTGAAGCAAATGTGCTTCTTGGAGTCGGGATCTGGGTATGGAAAAGTGCCCCCGGGGTTTTTTCCATGGTCTGTTCTCTGTTTTGTTTTGATCTTGGTCGTAGCTTTCCCTCTGGTGATGAGTTGATTGTTTCCCCTCCTTCCATATTGAGTGTCTTCGTTGCAAGGCCGTGTGCAAACAACCAATAGGAGAATCAGAGGTAGACCGAAAAAGTTGCGCAAGTTGACGTTTATGCATGCTGTATCACTGAAGATCTTTCAGAGTCCCAAGAGGTCGTGGGCTTATCCTTGTCGTCTGCTCATCTTTGCGTCCTCAGATCCGATATATATACCAACCCAGCAACACCCTTTTCCACATCACCACCATTGATACTCAAATAATCCATCTCCAGTGTTTCTGCTCCCAGATACGTGGGCGTAGGATCAGGTAATGCTTGATACAATTCCACCTCTGCGTTTTCCTTCCTCTTTGGCAATTCTATCCTGTCTGGGATTTTACCCCATTGTTGTTGTTGTTGTTGTTGTTGCTGCTGCTGCTGCTGCTGCTGCTGCTGCTGCGATCCACTCCCACTGCTGAGTTTCAAAATAGCTTTGTGAAATAAGCGCGCTGCCAAAGGTCGCATTACTGACATGGAGGCAACGATTATTCCAATGGAAGATTCGATGAGTGAGGTGTATGCAATAACGTCGTTTTGGCGTGAGTAGTAGTTTCCATCCAGACGTAAGCCAGGGATGAACGGTATCCTGACCACAGAGACTATACTGCCTGCAGACGCCAATACGATGATTGCGTATACAGATAGTTTGGAGCGGATGTCCATGGTAAGTCCAGACACGATGTAAATGGCAAGGATGGCGAATATCCAGTCAACAGCTGCGTTGAGGGCGGCGCAGAAATAGTTCAAAGGGCCGAGGGTTGACCAAGAGAGACAGTGGGGATTGGAGAGGTTGATGGTGGCAATGTTTCCGCATTGGCCGATGGATACGCCAAGCAGAAGAAGGTTGAAGAGGATGGAGATGGCGACGCTGACAATGATGATCCAGCGATGGAGAGAGTGGGTGGGTATCCGGAGGAAGAAAAAGGCCATGGATAGTTTGAAGAAGCATTGATTGAGAAGATACAATGCGATGCCTAGAATACTGAGCTGTTGAGTTTGAGATGGTTAGTTCTTTGTGTGAGAAGAGGTGATAGGTTTGATATACCTCGGCGAGCTTGACTATGGGTTCAAGTCCTTGATAGTACTCTGTCACTCCGATGGCTATAAACACACCACAAGCAGCCAAGAAGCAGATCTAAGGGATTAAATTAGTGAACTTCTTCCAGCTTTGGTAGCACGGCGTTCTAACGTGAGCGAGTATCAGACAAACATCGTCACGGCCAAACGATCGAGCAAGGCAGCATCGAATCCATATCCGTATCGAAATCGCAATGCTTGACAAGATGGCAAGTGGAATCGGTAGCACAATGATCGCGTACGGATGGAGATTGTACTTTGCAACATCTGGCGACACCATGTTTGCTTTCCTGTTATCGTATTTCGAGCATGGAAGAGAGAGAGGGCACAAAGAGATGAAACGACCAGACAACGAAAGAAAAAGGGATATCTGAAGATAATCAAAGAATAGCATCAAACTTTCACCTGTGAAACCTACATCTACAACTGTCATTACGATTGAGGCTTAAGAGTTGCACTCTCGCTACACACGTCGCATAAAGAAGCTCAAACAGATCTGAAGAGTAAGCCTCGGCATATTACTGTAGAGTTATAGCAGGGCACTCGATCGTCATGTTCGAGGCATGAACATGGTTTGAAACCGACAACCGTTGTCGAAAAAAGACGTTGACATGAATTTCATCTCTGATGTCTCAAATCTGGGGTTGTCTTTTGGATGCACAAGCGACCCGTCTCTGCTTAGATTGGTGTGCTTGGTGAACATTTCTGAATAGCACACGGTTTCAACGTGGAGTGTCGTTTCTCACATTTAGCGGTTAGGGCACGAAATGACGAGATGTGCAAATCCGAATCTCACTCGAGGCTCAACGGGGCTGGAAAAGGTTCAATACAAAAGGCGAACGGTTGTCTGTCAATTGTCATATGCCACGCGAGCCCATTACCCAAAGACAACAAACGTTCCTCCCGAGACCGACGTCCCCTGCATTTGTCGAAGCGCTTTGTACCATATCATGTCTCGTCTAATGATATCGCTACCGCTCAATCATACACCGGTCGTCGAAGCAGAGAGATTGCCGGAAATGATGACATGGGCCGTTCAATCTCTACTTGCCTCCAGGAGGAGTGTAGTCGGAGTAGCCAGAGCCAGAGTTGTAGTAGGTCGAGCCATTGGGGTCGCTGTAGTAGTACGAGCCGTCGCTGTTTCCTTGCATTGGTATTGCTTCTCGAAGTTCTGAAGATGACAAGACTGCACTCACGTGTTGGAGTAGTGGTAAGAGTTGTCGTTGGCAGCACTAGAGCCGTAGTCGCGGGAGCAGTAGTGGTTGCCCTCGCTGTTGGTGCCGCTGGAGGTGACTTCATACGAAGAACCGCTGCCGTTGGAAGTGGAGTTGGAGCCAGAGCTCGAGGTGGAGGAGTTGTTGGAAGGCATGTTAAGCTTGTACTTCGAGATGAGTGTTTGTAGTTGTGCTGTGGTCTTGAGATTGGAGACTCTGACGATGAGGAGAGAGAATGGAGATGGGCTCTGAGCTTGAGATATAGCTCCAGCTCCGATGAGGGGTCCTTTGAGTCCAAGTCTGCAGACCAAGAAGGAGCAAACGGACTTCCAAGCTCAGGCAACCTTACCGTGAAAGAGCCTGATCGCTTAGCGAGATCGCGAGATAAGAAGCGCAAACATATGTCAGTGTTTGGCACTGCGTGCCATTGGTATACTGCAATCACATTCTCATGATGAGATGCATAACCGTGAATGAGATGCTCATACCGATGCTTGACAGTGAGTGGCTCATTCATGCCGATGTGCCGTAAATCTTTGCAAAGTGCTTGCTAGATGGTCTTTACATCTCCTTATCTAGCTGTGGACGCCAAAGGTCTTACATTGCAGAATATGCAGATGTAGACGACTGTGTGTTTGACATGAAGAGTAGAAAGATTCGTGTGGTAAAGAACGCCAGTGACGTCTCGCGTCGCGAATCTCCAGAAACACCCCTCCAGATCAACACAACCTGTCACACAGCACAAGCAAAGACACAGATGAGCTTTGACAGTCAGGCAGAGATGCCACCCTCATCGTTAGCCAAGGCCATTCACTTTGGCCCATACGCAGTAACCTCCCAAGTCAGTCCCCGAAACACAGCTTCCCTCCACTCCGTTCAGGGACAGAGACACTAACACCAAACACAGGTCTTCTACAAAACACCTCTCTCCTTCTGCCTCGTAAACCTCAAACCCTTACTACCAGGCCACATCCTCGTGTGCCCTCTCCGTCGCGTCCAACACATCGATCAACTCAGCGCCCACGAAGTCACAGATCTGTTCAGCACAGTACAGCTAGCGTCGCGGACACTGAAGCGCGTGTACAATGCCTCAGCCTGCAATATAGCGATACAAGATGGTGAGGCTGCAGGACAGAGTGTGCCGCATGTTCATGCGCATCTGATACCCAGAGGAGATGGTGATATGGATGCGCAGGGTGGTGGAGACAAGATCTATGAACAGTTGGAGGGCGAGGAGGGGGATGTGGGCAGACATCAGAGGGAGGAAGAAGGTGTGAGGAAGGGCAAGTTCCCAAAGATCGAAGACGACAAGAGGAAGCCCAGGAGCATGGAGGAGATGGAGAAGGAGGCGCGCTGGCTAGCCGAGGAAATCCAGAAGGACGCTAAGAAGTTCTCCAACGAGTTCTCGTTATAGCAGCATGTCACGCTCGACAGTTGCTCGTTCAGCATCACAGATAGACCAGCTTATTGGAAAGAACGATAGATGGGTGTGTTTAAGAAACCCTCATAGAATTGCCGCTGTACAGATCTCGGTCGTGCCTTCCAAAGGGTCGCGATATAATTCATTCTCGTTCCAGAATTAAACAGAGTAAAACAGAAAAACGCCATCCATGCTTCATATCTCGTGCCAAAGCGCCAAGATTGTTTTGTTTCGAGAAAGAGAAAAGGTGTGGGTATCGGGTCGAAAGGGTGTTTAGTTCGCGAGGACGGTCTTGACCAAGTCTGAGTATAATGTGTCAGTTCATGTAATCCATGGGAGGTCTTGAGGAGTAACATACCAACGTAGTTGATCTCGCCGCTGCTGGTGTCAACGGCCTTGAGCAGCTCGTCGACCTCGTCGTCGCTCATCTTCTCGCCCAGGTTGGTCAAGACTGTGTATTGTGTCAGTGTCTTGTTCTCGGCAAAGATTGTTCCAGGGGCAGTTGTACTGTATCTGAGCTGACCAACGCCGATGAAGCCAGTCATGTCTTTGTCGAAGACTTGGAAACCACGGCAGTACTCCTCGGGCTCGCCGGGGTCGCGGAAACCGCCAGCGCGGTTGAGGACTTTTGAGAATGAGTCGAAGTCGACNNTGGTCGCTTGTGTCAGCCGCCGTGTTCGTTCCTCTCTATTCTTCGGTATAGACTCACAGTCTCCGCCAATGCTCTTCTCGAGGTCGCTGATCTCAGCGAGGGTGGGGTTCTGGCCGCATGCGCGAAGGAGATCGCCCAGGGAGTCGATCTGGACACGGCCGTTACCGCGCTTGTCGAAGAGAGCGAAAGCCTCCTTGTAGTTTGTTGTGTTGGCCTGATCCATTGTCTTAGTCTTGGTCTGTCTGCGATGTTGCGCTGTGGGAGTGCTGGTTTGCAGGAAGGAGAGTGGTGAAGGAGAGTTGAATGGCCGTTGTTGTGGTGTGTTGTTCAAAGGATGGGGGTTATCGAGCGACACAAAACAGGGCGATTGGCGAGTTTTGGTTGGCTGCGTGCTGACTTTCGGGTTTCCATGCAGGGTCTGGCCCGCAGTAAACAGATCAACTCACCATTTTTTGGTTGTGTGGTATTGTCGTTGTTTGATTCTTTCTCGACAGCTGGAGTCTTTGCAAAGTGGATTTCTGAGACTGAGGAGATATACGTGAAGATGTCTGCGTCTCTCAGGGACCCCGCCAGCATAAAGGAGTCGTTTGATGTGTTTGTGTCGAATCTGCGCTGCGACCAAATGGCGGCCCAGCACGCTTCAGGCCCGTTGCCAGGCGGGACGCATCAACATACTCCCCGATTAGGCAACTGTGCCTGCCTTTTATCTAGGTATCCGAACAGCCTTCACCTCATGTTTGGATGCTTCATGAATGATACTGTCGTCCCTCCCAGCTCGAGCTCTGTCACATGGATGGCTTGCTGAGATCACATGGTGCTCGTCACCACGGTCTCGCAAAATTGTCTGAGCTTTCGTTGTGGTTTGTAAAGTATCAACAAGGTATCGCTGTAAATCAATCAACTCGAGCTATGCTGGGCTTCAACTACTGTAATATGTCTGAGCACCAGTCGGCGGCCTTCAAGTGTGTGGACATATGGCAGAAGAGAGAATAAAAGGCCGCGATTGACCTGATATACCACAAGATATGTCTTAGACAGGGTCATCCCCATTCACTGACTTGGTCGTGAAAAGAAGAAGGAGACCCGAAGCCTCTCATACCTCGGCTCAAGCTTAACTCCAAAGTCCGTTGTCATTCAATCACCTCACCCTCCAGTGTTTCCTTCTTGACAAACGCACGAACAGAAACGATGACCGATCAAGAAATGAACGCAGCTGTCAAAAACTTCCTCGCTAGTCCTCGCTTTGCCGTGGCAGGCGCCAGCAGCGACCCCTCCAAGTTCGGCCACAGAGGTTTGCTTCTGTACAAGCCCAACTCGCACCACCCACGCTAACAATGTTCAGTCTTTGCATGGTACCTCCAGCGCTCTCTACCAGTTACACCTCTCAATCCATCCCGATCAAGCGTCTCTGTCTCGTCCAAGGAGTACGATACTGTGCCTTCGCCTTCAGCTCTACAACAGCCAAAGGAGACTGGATTGAGTGTCATCACACCACCTGCCGTAACCAAGAAGCTATTGCAAGAGGCCAAGGAGGCAGGTGTGAGAGCCGTGTGGCTTCAGCCAGGCAGCTTCAACGATGACATTCTTGAGTATGCAATGAAAGAGTTTCCAGGCGCAGCAGTAGGTGGAGATGGAGGTAGGGGTGGAGAAGGTTGGTGTGTGCTCGTGGATGGAGATGGTGGTCTGAGGGCTGCTGGAAGAGAACAAGGTCGCTTGTAGAGAAGAAATGGCAAGTGTGGTGTATTGGTCTTTTCATTTCACGTCATGCATGGTCGTTTACCAGCGCCTATCTGGCTCCCTGAACTTCATATGGCCTCTGCCTTTGAATTTGACGGTGCTTTCTTCGCCTGCTCCTGCGCCAGCGCTGCCGTGTGGGTCCCCGCCCAGACGTCCTTCTTCCTGCCTCGGTGGAGGACGGTATGAATTCCTGCCTCCTCTTCTTCCTCCGTCTCTGTCATACTGCCTGTTGGCATTGCCAGGTCTGTATCGATCGTTCTCTCTAGGTCGTCTGCGATCACTGTCATTCAATCGGTTCGGTGCATCATGGTCGTAGTATTGATTTGGTAGGCTTCTTCTCCTTCGGCGAGAGTCTACCGGGCTTCGACTTGACTCGCGACTGGCCTTCTTCCTCTCAGATCCTCGCGACGGACTGGGGCTGCGTTTCCGCTTGTACCTGCTGTCGGGACTCTGTGAATCTGACTCGATGGCACGCTCTCTTGCAGAGGATTCAACGTCTTCATCGTCGGATCTTGCACGTACCCTACCGCGCAGAGTCTCATCGATCACGTGGTCGCTTTGTCTTCGTACGGCTTGGGTTCTCTCGGGTCGTGGGGATGGGGAACGCGAGATAGACGCAGAGCTTCCGCGTCTGTTCTTTCGGCCTCTGTCCTTGCTGGCCGGATCAGGCGATGCGGCGGGTGCTTTCTTCTTGCGCTCAAGTTCTCCACAGCGTGCGATCAGAACAGGTTCGAGAGGTTTGTCGTCCTTGTCGACCTGGACTTTAGCCATGCGAGCAAGAGTGTCTTCTCCGCCAACCAAGCGTCCAAAGATGGTGTGTTTGTTGTTCAGATGTGGGCACTCGTCGAGAGTTATGAAGAATTGGCTGCTGTTGGTGGCTTTTCCGCGGTTGGCCATGCACACCAAACCAGCAGCATCCATGTCGCGCCATCCTAGATTCTCATCCTCAAAGTCGCCGCCGTAGATGCTGTCGCCGCCTGTACCGTCGCCGCGGGTAATGTCTCCGCCTTGGACCATGAATTCGTCAATGATGCGGTGGAAGGGACTGAGCGCATAGTTGAGGTTCTTGTGTGAGCCTGCACACAGAGCACGGAAGCTNNGTTATTCGAGTCAGCGCAAGTGTACGAAAGGGAGCTCTGATAGGATTTCGTACTTCTCACATGTCTTGGGAGTCTGGTCAGCAAAGAGCTCGACGGTCAAGCGGCCTGCTGGTTCGTTTCCAATGCTGATCTCGAGAAAGACGCGGGGACGATTGGGCGCCGTCATGATGTTGTTGGTCTGCAGTTGTGCTGACGGACGACGGCAATCTGCTGCAGCTCAGAATGGCACAACATCGAGTCAGCCCTGCCAGCTCTGCAATCTTGATGCTTGGGAGATCCTCCACGCCCCGCAATCGACCGCCAAGCCCTTTTGTATAATTCCATCCAAGAGGCATCACCTCGGACGGATATCTCTCGCATTTGCTTGCTCTATCCCATGATTCAACCTGGCCGGGAAAGTAGCTTAACCGTACTGGCGTAATCCCGAGTACGAGCTGATTCTCAAGAGTCATGGTCAGCACGATGCTGCCGTATTAGTTTGAATACCATGCAAGCTATCGACTGCCGACAAAGGTCATAGTTAGGGCAGCCCCGATCCGCCGTCGCATTTACTCAGGTAGGCGTATGCAGCCCTACCTTCACACAACTTCCAGCCTGTCTTGTCTTGTCTTCATTCCAACTGCGCTCCCGCGCTGGAGACCGTTGGCTGAAACTTCTCAATGCACGGGATAGGAGCCATCTGGTCTAATAAACGAGAAAGAGCCAGGCAGAATCCTTCATGTCTCGGTTACAGATGTGTCGGCTTGTCTTTTGACTCCTGCCACCATATCTCCAATCCGTTCAATCTTTCTGCCTTTGCTTCTAGTTCCTTGGCCTTCGAGACTAGCATGCCGCCCGCGTGGTCGTCGCATGCCTTTTTCACGTTATCTAACCTCCGCAAGGTGACATCTTGACTTCAAACACCCCAATCCAAATTGACGTTATCGTCACTTGAGATGACCTCAATCTTAACAGACGAGATCGATGTTGACGATACTCGTCGTTTGCTAGTGCAAGAAATAGTAGCCGTAGATCTAATCGCCTGGATTCTTTTTACTTTTGGCACCGTTCTGCCGGCAACATTTCACCTCCAACGGTCGAGGTCGGACCCCTCGGCTCCAACCTGATTTTCTGCAATCGTCTCTTTAAGCCCGAATCGTCGACCCGGGTGTCTGAGATGCCGTTCCTCACACTCTCGCTGCTAATTACACAGCCACTCAACCCTCGTTCCGACTTTGTCCCACACAAAACGAGATAACAACTCGAAGTTGGCTGATCGCGCCCCAAGGCCACCAACACCCAGGTACTCGGTAGTTGAGATCTGATTTACCCGCCGCGCATGCCTAACCGCTCCGCGTGCAGGGCTGAAGTCGGTCTCGTTCCGTCGGTTCACTTATGATAATGCACGAATCTCTTCATTGTAAGATAAACGTAGGTTGGGGCACTTACCCGATAGCATCGAGGTAGCTGAATGAATCTCTGTACAGCGAGTCATACTTGACGCTGTCTGTCGACATATCCTTCTAGAAGAAGAGAGCTGACAGATCTCGCCTCTCCAAACGGGCAATACCCAGCCGTTTCAAGTCTAAAGTCAACTCGACCGGCGCCTTATTGACTTGCGGCTATTGTTAGCGTTGAACTCTTGGACTCCCACGCCTGGGGCTACCATGCACACTGTTAATCGGCATCATACTTTTTCCACTTTAACTATGGCTCAGGCCCTCACATCGCCATTCTTTACCATTTCTTCGCGAATCTGTCCCCCTCCTTGCTGTCTTCTCCTCTCTTTCCTGGGGAAGCATTGGCTTTTGTGTTGTCCATTGAACTCAACATCATCCTTGCTGGAGGCCTGTTTTGAGCCCTCCCTGGGGTAGACCGTAGGACGTCATGGCTCTCGATGCTATCTTGAAAGAAGTCTGGGTAAGGGTTGATCTAACAATTCATCAACGTGCTAGTAGACTAATCGGATTTTAGGCTTTGTATGCCATCTCTACATTCATCATCCTATCTCGTTATGCAGTACGCCTACGAACCGTAGGGCTCAAGGGTCTCTACTGGGACGATTTGTTCTGCTTCGGTGTCATGATCTTCAACACAGTCGATGCTGCCGTTGTACATATCATTCACTTCACTGGCGAGAGCTCCGAGGTCACCGAGAAATGGCTCGAGACCGCTACTCAAGCGGACATTGATCGCATAACCTATGGATCCAAGTTGGAGTACACGGCATGGTGCAGTTACCCAGCACTTATCTGGTGCATGAAGTTCACCATGCTGTTCTTCTACAAGCGTCTGACTCTGGGCTCCTTCCACAACAAGCTCATCAAATACCTCTTCTGGTTCACCAGTATCAGCTACTTTATTGTCTGGTTTGTGCTGATCTTTGGCTGCTTCCCGTGAGTCTTTTCTGAGCTACTGGATTGGGCTTCGTTTTAACATTCTCTTAGTACCCAGATGAACTGGCAGGTCACACCTGCACCCCCATGGAAGTGTGCTTTCAGACCGCAAAACTTCCTTGCCGTCGCCATTCCCAACATCCTGACTGACGCAGCTATTCTTATGGTTCCCATCCCAATGCTCTGGCAATTGAAGATGCCCTTGAAAAAGAAGATCACCATCGGAGTCGTCCTTTCATCTGGATTATTCGTCATCGCTGCTGCTATCATTCGTGTCGTTCTTTCTCTCGATGCAGCACCGTCTGCCGCCAATATCAATGGATGGGTATGTGGTAGCGCACCGAGCTCGACGTAAGAAACATGCTAATCATAACACCAGGGTGTTCGCGAGACCTTTATCGGTATCTTCACCATCAACGTACCTATTCTTCGTCCCGTCTTCAGCAGAGCATTCTGGCTGCCAGGCACATACGACCCACACGCTTCTGGCAGAGGATCGGGATATGGCAGATCTGGCCACAATCTTCATTCAGCTCACGCCCACGGCAAGAACTACAAGGGCACGAAACTCAACAGCGAAATCGACAAGTCCGGCACTGTCAACGAATACGAGCTTGACGGCAGAACACCCGTCTCGGACTCCTTCGATATTGAGAGCCAGGCCTCGACAGAAAAGATGGTACACACAAACAGCAACCGTAGTCAGGAATACCCATACGATGTGAATGATGGTGTCCGCGTCGAGACCTCATATGCCATTCGTTCGACTCGTCGCGACGAGGAGACAGGATCGATCGCGCGTGGCAACTGGAACAGCATTGGTGTGCCGAGATGAGTTGGAATGTAACGCTGCTGGTTTTCTGCGGCAAAAAGTTGCTATATAATAATTGTCTGTTTATGGACTGGCCCCACCCGCAGCACATGATATCCGGGGCCATGAATAGTACGAATTTCATTGCTTTCACGTCAGCTTTGCGTGTCCAGTAACTATCTTGTCCCCATTTCGCACAGGGCCACGAACATGTGGATCTACTCCGCAATGAAGGTCTGGATTGGTTCCATGCGACACTCCTTCTACGGGAACGACCTCTGGCGACGCCAAGGGGATCTGACTGTACAGGTTTATACATATCTGGGAAAACATCGTTATAGAATGTGCTATCAGCTTGATGAATGGCAAACTCGATGGCAATGTGTTGAGAATTTGTATGAGACGAGCTGCGTTTGGAACACCTTGATGACCTACGTCGACGTCATTAACTTCCAATCCAGCAACATCTGCAACACGTTTCCAAAGAGCACCTTCTCCAAAATCTGTTGAACACGATCAAAATGACGTTACGCGTAGCTACTCAATCCGGCGGAATCCTACGTCCTACTCTGACACCTTCTCTTCCTGCAAGAATATCTCGCATCTCCAAGGCAACCTTCATAACCTCTATTAGCTACCACTCTACCTCACCTGTCAACAGCTTCCCAAACACTCAACAGAAGCTGTCTTCGAAACCCCGTCACACAACCTTCACACAATCAATCAGAAAGATGTCGCAAAAGTCAATGACTTCGAGAATTGCCATTCTGGGCTCTGGAGAGGTCGGCTCCACAATCGCCTACTCGCTGATCTTGAACCCTGTGGCCGGAGAGATTCTACTTGTCGATCCCAAGGAGGAGGTTCGTGATGCTCAGGTGCAAGATCTTTCTGATGCCACTTTCCATGGCAACACGAGTACGCAAGTACGTGCTGGCACGCACAAGGAAGCTGGACAATGTGATATCGTCGTCATCACTGCAGGAGCAGCACAGAAGAAAGGTAAGAATGGACGCGATGTTTGATATCCAATGACCTGCGAACTGTTTACTGATCTGACCATAGGAGAGAGCCGTACCGACCTTGTCGGCCGTAACCTCAAGATCTTGAGCTCGGCTATTGATGACATGAAGCCTTTCCGTGAGGATACTATTATTGTCCTGGTCTCGAACCCTGTGGATATCTTGACCTACTTTGCTCAAAAATTCTCTGGACTCCCCAAGCACCAAGTCATTGGCAGCGGTACCTTCCTCGATAGTGCACGTCTGCGCGGTATCCTTGCGCAAAAGTGCGGTGTTGCAGCTAGCTCTATTGACGCCTATGTGCTGGGCGAGCACGGTGATTCGCAGATGGTAAGTCTGAACTAATACCAATCTTTCGTGCTTCTTGCTGACTTCACCATANNGGTCGCATGGTCTCACGCATCAGTCGGCGGTGTACCGCTCGAACTTGCTCTTCCGGATGCCTCTATCGACAAGGCTGCCATCGCAGAGGACACCAAGAAGAAGGCGGCTGCCATCATGGAGTCCAAGGGTGCCACAGCTTATGGTATCGGCGGCGTGACTTCATCCATCTGCAAGTCGATTCTGTTCGACCAATGCAACATCAGACCCATCAGTCACTACCAGGACGACATGAACGTCTGTCTCTCAATGCCAGTGATAATTGGCAGAAAAGGCATTGTTAGACAGATCCCATTGAAGTTGAACGATGGCGAGAAGAAGGAGCTCGAGCAGAGTGCAAAGAGCTTGAGAGAGATTATCGATGATGTGGAGAAGGAGCAGTCCAAGGAGTAAGCATTGAATACAGGGAAAGTGCATTAGCTATGCGATAAGCGTTATGAATCAAGACACTTTACACGATGCATCAAAGTCAAAAAGTCGCAATGACGAGACCCACACTATGGCCGATACCTACATACCGCTACTGTAAGCATTACGCGCGTGACCACGCTGTTGATTCTTAACCTTGGCTTACACGTATGCGATTTCGGATGCAGAGATGGATTGATTGACCCGACACAGCACTATCAGTACCTCCTCCGTTGTCCGCATGTTCCGCCCGATACACCGTCCACTTTTGTCAGCAAGTCATGCGGCTATGACAGCTGCACAACCATCCAACAGCAGTTCGACTCTGCTCACACCCGCCATTGGGTCTCTCACTATGGCCAGGATATGTATCTTGACCACTCGACCCCGTACAAGGATCACACTTGTATGGATGGCTGGCGTGATGGCAGGACTTTCTGGCGCAATATCACCGATCTTCCTTAACAGGATAAATGAACCAGGTCTATGAATCTATCAAGTCCCTATAACATCTCGAAGTGTATGGTTGTAGGTAAGAGGAACATGATCTGTCGACTTGTAAAATAGGCAGACCTGTCTAGAGATTAGGAAAGGTGCAAGGGCTTATAGACCTGCTGTCTCACTTTACATGCTCTCCTTCAGGTGTCGATTCTCTGCTAACCGGCAGGTACGCCATTCAAATTAACAGAATGCACATCCAGCAATGAGATTAACATGCTCCAACGTTCCATGTCCTCGACCCAGGTAGCTACTTTTAAGCTATGCACATGAAAAACATCTTAGGTAGATGAGATGTTAGCATAACGAAGCCACATGGCAACTCCCTTAGCACAAGGCGTCATTGGTAGGTCTCAGAATCAACGCCTGGTTCTACAAGCTTTACGATCTCGTCATCCTCCGGACCTTGCAGTGATAGCAGAATCCGTATTACCGATAGCAAGTTATATATAGCTATCCCTCTACTCATTCAGCAGTTCTCAAAATATCATTTTGAAAGATATGTATTCGATATGGAGCGTGGTTGAGAGTCATCTGTGATTTTGAGGTTTGATAAAGGATCATTGTACAGGAATATTTGTATCATTTGTTCGTCCTTAACCATACTTTAGACCTTGATCCAGGTTTAAACCACAGTACTCAATGGTAGTATGTGAATATATATAACACAACTATTGACAGGATCTAAGAAATCATGCCAATCAATTCATATCCGCTTCTTCTATCAGTTGAATCCCTGCCGTGACACCATACCTTCTACTTGAGGATACGTCAAAAGGCCAATGTCCATCAACATAGCCATGGTGTATACGAGTGGGTCGTTTTCGCCAGCCTTCACGACACAATAAGCAAGTAACCAAGTCTATGATTGTTCTCTTGAAGTCTGTAGTCTCTGATTATCAATATGGAAATCAATCCAAGACATGGAGTCTCGTTCGTAGGAGGGAGGAAGAAATGTATCATCTGATTCACAGACCTGGTGACTTGCCTTTACTGGTGGGATACAGTATAGCTCAATGTGTTTGGCGCAATAGGAGGGCTTGACATGTCTTGGACTTGTTGCCGCGAACTTCAGTCGACAGACATGGTGCGAGCATGCCTGGCCTGACGATCTCGAAGTTACCTATCGAGCAAGAATAGAGGGTTGACTACACCAAAATAACAATTCTACTCTCATTTTGAAAGACTCATTGGTGTGTAGAAAACCGCGCACTCTATATTCCTCGTCTCCACCAACTCAAAGGACCAAATCTTCAAATCTCCATCGACACCAGCAGCAAAAACACATTCCACAACATGAGGTTGCAAAAGGCCGCCGCAGAACAGAAAGTGGTACCGAAGTCCAACCCACGAATGAACCTTCTGCACCGGTGTTTTGAAGTCTGAACAAGCAAAAATTGGAAATTGAAATTACCATCTCACGTGGACGCATGGCGGTGAAGAAGGTAGGAAATTTGCAATGATTGCGATAAACAATGATCCCTAGTTTTTCCGAATCGTCAATGTTTACTTGCCAAAACAGATGGGAAAGTTACAAGAGGCGCAAAGAGGGAGGTACGAACAAGACTCCCTATTGCTTCCTCACCATGACATGCAAAGCATGTGGGAACAAAGAAAGAAGAAATGACAAAAAAAAAGAAAAAAAAAAGCCCAAGAAGCTCACCCGATAAGGTTGTGGAGGTGGCTACGGGGAAGAGGCAGATCTCGCGCCAGGAGGGACGATCAACTTCAGGCAACCCGGCACGTGGTCAGGCGAACCTGTCATCGTGACATCTGTTGTTTGCTGGCTGACGGAATGCGGGTCATGAAAAAGAAGGAGCAAACGCTTTGGAGGAAGGGAGTTGGAACGTTGCTTCGGGATCAACAGAAAGTCGTCGAGTCGAGACTCACTCTCACGATGTTCAGTTCTGGTGATTCGTCATTACCTTGTTCTTGAGATCGAGGTCGGTGCGTCCAGGAGCATCGTCTACAGTAGAATATCTATCAAAATGTAGAATGTTCAAACGACAAGCTTGACCATGAGAAGCTGCCAAAGTTGTGGAGCATTATTCTAACTTGTTGGAGAGAGGTATAGATGGTGGAAGTCACAAGCGTAAAAGAAGACGAAGTAAAATGAAGGCGTAAATGACATTATTTGCCAATCCATAGAGGACCGACAACCCGTGATGGGATATTGTAGGTGTTCGCTAGTTAGAGTCATAACTAAGTGTGCAACAAGACGCGTCTAGAGCGATCGTGATGAACCCAAACCAGAAGCCAGGGATGAGAGGGGGAAGGACGCAAGTGCTACCAAAATATACAGTGTGATGATCGCTGAACTGCGAGAAAGAAAGAACAAAAACGACAAGGTTGTCAGGCGGCGAGCGTCGACAGGGTATCTCTTCATGCAGCGCCAGCGGTGGCAGAAGGCTCAAAAACCTTGGTCGGTTGGAAGCCAGCACGAACGACACGCTGACCGTTGGAGTCCTTGGCCATGACAGCGTCCTTGTTCTCCTGCTGGGCCTTCTTCCAAATCTCGACCTCCATACCACCACGAATGACACCGACTCTCATGGTGGAGAGCAAGTTGTGGGCGGCGTTGGAGTGGAAGTAGACACCGCCGTTGAACATGGCAGTGGCATCCTTGCCGATACCAGAGCGAATCATGGCCTTACCACCAGGGTGGTCGTTGACAAACGATGCTGCGCCGCTGGCATTGAGATCGTGGACTATACCGCGCAGATAGAAAGTGTTGAACAATCGACTCAGGTACGAATTCATCAGGTTGGAACCAGACGAGGAACAGCCAACAAAAGCAAGCTGGAGTCGCATCCGAGATGTGTGCGTGTCTGAATATTGCGCGTCAGTGAAGACTTGATGAGATGCAATGACCTGATGACATTTGAGGACATCCATGTCAGATGCATGGAGTGTGCTCGGGGAGTCGGGATGATCAAGAACCCCAGCATTTGAGGTCATGGTTCATGTATGGGGAAGCGCTGATAAACCGTCATGCATTGAGATTAGAGGAGTGCCAACGATGGATGGGCGTGGGCGTGGGCTGTCTGGACGATAAGAGTGTGGCATATGAGGGGCTGGTTCTTGTTGAAAGGATCATTGACCAATACGAAGTCCATCTGTCCAACGTGAGTCCACCTTGAGGTGGTTGTTGGGCAGGTTGCATAATCACGAAATGCAGAATTGTACGTTGAACTTTTGTTGCATGACACAAGGTCTTGGGATAGGACATGGATGGCAGCGGCGGGTGGAACAGGCAGCTCGATAGCAACGGCCATCATTGGCTCGCAACCACTACTGCTTTGGGAAGCGACTTAGTTTCATGTAGGCCGGGAGTAGCCGCAAGGACCCTCGATATCCGGGAACTGGTGGATTAGACAACACAGGGCTGAATCGCGCACCAACATGACGATAGATTGACACCCAAGAACAGGCATATCTTCGCACAAGACGCGAGAGATGGAAGCAGGTCAAGACAGACGTTCAAATCGCGCGTGTGTCTGCGGTCATCAACGGGCGTGTGCTGGGAATGGAAAGCATGAGGTGACACGCCTTTCTTCAACTGACGCTAGCCTCCGCACGAGCTGATGCTTGGCAGGTCAGCACCACCAAAATTCGACCAGATCTTAGACACGACTGGCGATCTAAAAGTGAGGCTCGACGCGGAGACAAGGAGATTCGCTTCACGATGGGTAAACGAAGCAGAAGTTGGACTCCTGATCGGCTGAATTGGCAAGACTCTAAAGAAGCAAAGAGAGATGGACGGCGTCTGGAGCTTCTAGTCGCGGTGGTTTTACGTGTTTGCAACGATGAACCTCGGGATTAGCGCGCGGGCTTCGGGCACAGCTTTCTAGAATGGTGAACAGATCGGCAAGGAAGGCCGGATGTTTCGCGTGCCATCCAGAAAGCCAAAAGTCATAGTGGCGAAAATGGCAGTGGCCAGCTGGCGGCGGAATGTGAGTACCTCAGGGTCCTTTGTGAGAATTGATTGAGGAGAGGTGTTGTTGAATGATCACACATTGGTGCAGACAATCAATGCAGGTACAGAGTGCCGCAGGGGTGGTGTTCATGTTTCTCCAATCCCACGGGAGTGGCAAGGTGATGCAATGCAGCGTGTGAATTGGTTGGGGGCATGCCCAACAGTCGCAGGAAGACGGTGAATTCTGGCCATCGGGGCGAGTAGGTTCCCCCACAGTATTCGCCTCGTCTATCAGGCCATGGCATATTTGTCCCGAGCTCGCGTTAGTTCAAAAACTTGAGCCCGCCAGCACAGTTTCCTTTCTCTCTTTCAGCGCCCTCCACCCACATCAATCCTACCCCTCGACACTCGTTTGTTCGAAGGAGGCTCTCGCATTCACTGCACTTGTTTCTGACAGCTCGTGCAACATGCCTTCGCACCAGCCCGCCGCCGGCATGATGGCCGTCGACCCTGACTATGTCAAGCAGGGCTCGCCCATGGCCTCCAAGAACGAGCCCAACCGTAGCAAGTCCTACGACCCCAAGAAGTGAGTCTACCTCAATTTTCTGCGTCCACCGACAAGACACTAACCAATCTCCAGGCCTCACATCACCGACACTCCCTTGACCAAGGCCAACTGGTACAAGCATGTCAACTGGCTCAATGTCTTCCTCATCGGTGGCATTCCCCTCATGGGTCTGATCCAGGCTTGGTGGACTCCTCTTCGTCTTTACACCGCCATCTGGGCAATTGCCTACTACTTCGCAACTGGTCTCGGTATCACTGCCGGCTACCATCGCCTGTGGGCACACACTTCGTACCAGGCCACTCTTCCTCTCAAGATCTTCCTCGCTGCCGTTGGTGGTGGTGCCGTCGAAGGCTCCATCAGATGGTGGGCCCGTGACCACCGCGCTCACCACCGCTACACCGACACCGACAAGGACCCTTACTCAGTCCGCAAGGGTCTCCTCTACTCTCACCTTGGCTGGATGATTATGAAGCAGAACCCCAA